CCAAATGGTTAAATCTTCAATAGCAGCACAGTTTCTCCTCACCATGACATAACCTACATAATCGTACAGATAATTATTGTGTGTCAAATAATGTTTCTCCCACCTCAGTAAAAAAACTTATGGCCAACGTGAATTGTCAGGAGACGAACATCTACATGCGTCACTAGCTGATTCTGTATAGTCAAGCTGGAAGCAAACCACCAGCAATGTCACCGTTCATGTTTGATTCTAGAAGGGTACCAGAAAGTAAGCAAACAATGAAGCATGATTTTTACAGGTAAGTCAAATTACATAGGGACCAGACTTAACAAAGTTAAATTTGGCCTAACAACAAATAAACGGCAGACACTGTTCAAAGCGCAACGTCTTAAACAGCAAAACAAAGCACGCGGTATTTAGTCACTACTGCAAAAGAAAGCAAAATGCAATAGATAAAACAGCAAACAAGACGCATTTCAGCGATAAATAGCAATGAAATGGACAAACCTAACATTGTAGCGCAATAAGCAACGTCATAGGCAATATAGATGACATCAAAATATAGGACAAGATTCTATTGCAATCTAAACCAAGCCTCGTTTAGAAACAAAACTAATTAGTACAAATATTCCAGTGGCAATGTTTAATGCCTCTATACATTCGTTAACTAGATAAAAAGAAAAAATAATAATAATTGACAGGAAACAGCTTGATTCAGTGTTCGTCCAGCGGGTACCGGCAATCAGACAATTGCAATTCCTGCCAATCGACGAAAAGAAACAAATAAAGTTTGTATTAAATCTAAAGATGTCATGACACCCTTTTCTATGACATTCACACTCAATTTAGTCAACAAAATTAAATGAAAAACACTAAATATGTATTCGACAGAATTCAGTAGCTAACTAGTAACATAGATGTCCACTTGTAAGACACATTGCACCTTGATATAATAAGAGAGCTTGCATCAATGGGGTACATGATAAGTGTTTTTTTTATGCTACTTCGTGTCAGCTAATAAAGATCTGAATAAGGATAAACTTGAGGATATTAGAATCGTTGCAAGCGAATTTCATATAACTATTAACCTGGAAGAGACGCTGAAAGATACTATCTCTAGGCCGGCTACTGTAGTAAAATATAATAAAAAGACATGTTGATATGTGAATCATGTTTAATTCAAAAGAAGTCAAGGTACCATTATGTTGTAAAATAACATTTTTCACAGCTGTTGTTCGTCAGATGATAAACATTAGGTGTAAACGTTCATCCGTAAAAAAGTGTAAAAAAATTTGCTAAACACCAGAAAAATTATCGGAGAAATATCACTTCATGCTTAGCAGTATTCGATACGTTAGAATATAAACATGATTTGTTTTGTACAGTTCATTAACATACAATGTTAATTAAAACGTGTCATTAGAAATTGACTGATACGCTGAAAGTATTCGAATAAGAACGCAAGCGATATAATCGAAACCGCAAACAAAACACTCAAACATGCTCTATCCGAGTTCTTTTTAATCAATAGACAGGAACTAAACAAATTATTTATATAGGTCAAGATTGCAATAATCTATTTCTCAATGCATGGGATAACACTGCAACACTATCGCTTGGAAATTTAAAGCCTATAAATTCAAAATCTGTGATGTTCTCAAATGAAAATGAAAAAACAACTAGACTAAACTTACTGTATCTGTGAGAAATAGTACCTTACTATAAAGTTGGCGATTGTCAAGCGCAGGCACTAAAGATGGGTAACGTCTATCATTTGAATGGTTAATAAAGCACATAAAGAAAGTATAAAAAAAAACATTTCACTTTTCATTTCAAAATGGTCTCTTTTGACAACCACCTATTTCTCAGAGGTCTAAGTCCAATTATGTTCGTAATGAAAAGATCATACAATATAAGGAAACATTAATTTTATGGTCGATAGATTTATGACAGTGGGAGAGAAAATACCGCCAGAATAACAAATTTGCTGGTAGTTTATTTTCATGGGTCAATCATTGGATTCGTTACAAAGAATTAAAATTATTAACATTTCATTGAAACGATGAAATATTGTCAAAACCTTCAACCTAGATAGTTGAAAGAGACATTTAACTATAGGAATTCAATGATAACTTTGAATGATTAAATGAAACAAATAAAACATTAAAATCCAAGTATAAGCAATATTCAACTCAAATATATCTAAAGACACACATGAATATGGTAAAGATGTGATGTTGTTACATGTAGGCTCAGTCAAAAGTAACAAAAGAAAAGAATGAAGCCAACAAACTTTGTAAATTTTAATCAAAATAATTTATTTTCCTAATAGAAGGTTAAAATGCGAAAAAAGACTTACAGTTTGTGAATATAATCCAAAAATTAATCCTGGAATCTAAATTTTTATAGTACAATCATTACAAAGTTCTAAATAAATCCAAGCTCGATTCCCGACGAAGTTCCAATATAGAGGACGATGACGTCAGATGAATGGATTGTACTAATGTGTCAACAGTTCCTCCTTGAATTTTGTGAATCAAGAATAATATTCTGACTTTAGAATTTCAAATAATTTCCACTGAATTTATTCGTCCAAGACTTTGATGAAAAAGTACTTATTTTTCAGAAAAATTAAATTATTTTAAATAACAATTTCAACTTAAATGGCAACAACACCAAATACCTTGAGCCCACAAGTATTGTTTTACGACCGAGAAATCTACTAGAAAAAGTCTGCTTTAACCTACTATTTTAGATCATATGCTGGTTCACGTGACGGGGCTACGTGGTCACAACTTAAACAGCGCAATAAAAAACACGCCAATATAACATGTAGTCTAGAATAGCCCTATCTAAAAAAAAGTCATATACTCAAGCTGGAAACTAATAATAAAAATAAATTGTTTAAAACATGGCTAACACGTAAGCCGAACATAACTTCTGTAAAACCAATCATTTTCACTTAATGTTTACAAAACTTCTCAACCAAGGTGAGCTAAAAATACTGACAATGTAATACCTTTTACATTCAAATCAGATTAAAACAGAGAAGTGATTTTTCCGAAAAGATATTAAAATCCAATAAAAATAATCATTACAATAAAATATAATGAAACAAAAATAAAATAAAAAAATTAAAACCAACAAAGAAGCAATTTAATTACATATTAGTAACACTTCCCCCATAAAGAAAAATAAAGATTAACGTAATAAAGCGTTATTTACAAATTGTACGTGAAATTATATTTCAAAATACGGGAAAGTGCATCTGCGATCAAAATGTCTTTTCCTTTGATGTGCCTGATGTCAAGGCTATGTTCATGTAAAAATAAACTCCACCTTAATAATCTTTGATTTTTATTTTTCATCTTGTCGATTAAAGTAAGTGCGATGTGATTGCTAAACACAGCAATCGGAGAAAGGGGCTGAACTAATGTAAACTTTAAAATGATGTAATCCCAATATTAAAGTCAAACATTCCTTCTCGATTGTTGAGTAGTTACTTTGGTGCTTATTTATCTTCATAGAGAAATAGCACACTGGGTAATCAACACCTTTTCTATCTTTTTGAATCAATACTGCTCCATCCCCAACATCACTTCCATCCACAGATAATTTAAACTGCTGACTGAAATTTGGAGCTGTAATAACTGGTGTACTTTAAGTATGTCTTTAACCTATCAAAAGCCTCCTGACATGTTTCAGTTTAAAGAAACTTGTTTCTCTTGCTCGACAAGCTTACCAGAGATTCAACAATATTAGAAAAATTGGAACAAAATTTCAGAGGGTATCCAGTCATACTTAAATAACGCATCAGTTGCTTTCTACTGACAGGCACAGGGAATTCAGTGATAGCCTTGACCGTAGTATATATATATATATATATATATATATATATATATATATATATATATATATATATATATATATATATATATATATATATATATAGGTTTAAATTGACCATGTCCCACAATGTCCTAGAAATGTCACACAAGCACAGATGAACTCACTTTTAGATAAATTCATTGTCAAATTTGCATCAGTGAGTCTGTCATCGAATTTTAGAATCGTGGCTAGATGGGTTTTTTCCAGGTGTCGTTATAGATGATGACATAATCAATGTGAACATCACAATTATCTAGACCACAGATTATTATATTCATCAAGCGTTGAAAAGTACTTCGGGAACCCTTCATCCCGAAAGGCTTTACTTAATATTCATAGACTCCATCTGAAGTCACAATTGCCGAAAACTATTTTGCCCTTCCCGTTAATGGAATTAGCCAAAATCTTTTCAGTAGGCCAAATTTGGTGACGTACTTGGCATCTCTAATTTATCAATGCAGTCATCGATTCTTGGTAATGGAAATGAAACTAGTTTTGTCACACTGTTCACCTTCCTATCATCAGTGCACATATCCGGTTTCGGAACAAGTGTATAATGTGAACTCCAATCACTTTTAATGGGCTCTATGCAATCATTCTCCAGCAAATACTGAATTTCCCTTATCAAGTATTCCTGCTTGACACGGTTCATCTCGTATGTGTATTGTTTTACAGGTTTTGAATCTACAATTTCAACGTCATAACAAATCTAGTTTGTCCTTGTAGGAATATCTGGAAACAAATGCTCACATTCAAATAATAGCTGTTTAAATTCATTCCTTTCTTGTTGTTATAAATGTAAAATTCTCTGATCCAAATTTGTTTATAATTTCCGAATTCCGAACATCTTTTGCTCTAAAATCAGTAGAGACCGATTGAATTCCTTCACTTAAATCCTCAGTTTTGTGGGACAGGTACAACTAAATTAATTTCATGATTTACTTGGCTGTCTCTTTCAATATATTCGTACACCCTTAATTTATTTAGATTAGAGTACTTTTATTATAATTTAACTCATTCGTTTTCTTCTTTACTTTGTAATGACCATAAAACCTAATTTGAAGAAAATGTTTAAGCAATCGGGCTAGAACTCTATTACAGGAATCAAATGTTCGCTCCATTAATGTTCAACCGCTCCGGTAGCTTAGTGGTTAGAGTGTCCACCTCGGATGCGGGAGGTCGTGGGTTCGATCCCCTATCGAGTCATACCAAAGACTTACAAAATGGTACTAAGAGCTACCTCGCTTGACGCTCAGCATTAAGAGGTTAGTGTTAGGACTGGTCGGCCTGGTGTCAGGATAATGTGAATGGGTGGGACATCATGATACGTGTTTGCGGCATGATGCCCCAGTGCTATACGTCACTATAAACTGCCATACTGCAGACATCGTAGCGATATGACTGAAAAATTGTTAAAAATCATAATCATATCATATCCCATAAACGTTCTGTGAAACCATGATTTCACTTTTGACTTGAATTGCTTAGTGCCAAATTCAAGCATGACTAGTTGGAAAAATCCAGACCTAAAATTTGACGTTTATCATATGGGACAGATTTGGGAAGGCAAAAGTAAGTTAAAAAAAAAAACTTTATCAAAACTTTATGGCTTCAGTTTTGATATTCCTCAAAGGAGTTGCCTCTGGAAATCTTGTTGACGCACACATCATGATCAACACATATTGGTTGCATGATTTGGTCTTAGGTAAGAGACTAACACAATCTACCATAATTCTGCTAAACGGTTCGTCCAATGCAGGAATAGGTTCCAGATGAACCTTAGGTATCTTCTGATTCGGTGTTGCTACCATTTAACAGATATAACAAGATCTACAATATTTACAAACATCACTTTTGATTTTTGGTCAGTAAAAGTGAGAAAAGATCCTGTGATAATTTTTTTTATTTCTAAATGGCCAGTCAGAGAAATTTCTTGGGCCAAACTAAGTATTTCCTGTCTGTAACATTTTGCAACTATAACCTGATAGTTCACTGATTATTCGTCACTATCAGGTACCTCGGGAGGTCTCCAATTTCTCATAAGAATTCCATTTTTAATGAAATCACAGGGGTACTTCAGTGGCTTCAGTTTCAATAATTACCCTCTGAAACAAACATGAGATCAAGATTTGTTCCTGTTCGACGACAAGTGATTGTAGACTATCACCCTGATTAGAATAAAGAGAATGAGTATTCAAAAGAGGATCACTATGATCAATACCTTTCGACATATCCAAATTAAAAGTGAAAGTGATCTCATCAAATGGCTGACCAATACATGTGTCAGCTAAAGGAACACGGTCCTTATCAAAATCATTCTCAAAAGCTTTCTTTGCCATAGCTCTTGTAACTGCACAAGCTGGGAATAAATCAGGGATTTCTTTTTCAATAGGATTAACATTCTGATCAAAGAAATGTTGTCAGTTACAAGTGGATCTACCACAACCCTTTCTTCAGTTTGGTCGTTGCCCAGTAATAAATGAATTTCCTGAACGGTAAGTAAACACTTTTTCAACTGTCACAGGTCCTGAAACTAAGTCTGATGACAAATTTACAGAATGGAGAGGAACATAAACAAAGCCGCACTCTACTGCATGAATGAGAACACTCTCATTAGAACAGGACTTCTCATAAAAGGCAAAACACCTGATAAGAAAAGACTGAGAAGCTCCTGTATCCCTTAAAATTTTAATAGGGATAAGATTGGCTCATCACCCAAGAGTGATATAGAACCATTCAACATGAATGGTTTATAATTCTCCATAATAAAACCAGACATTGGTTTATTAACCCTACAAATGTATTTCTTTCAATACATGACCGTGACCTTGAACTCTTAGAAATAAGAGTATTTGGGACATGTCTATCTAGATTCTGATGATTATATTTCCATTTTTGAGCAATCAGACATGAAGAGACAAGGATTTTTAATCAAGTTTATCAGAAGCTTGATTTTTCAAATTTGTGCTAGACTGAGTTTTAGAATGAGTTGTGTTAGGCGGAAATACCTTTTTACCAGTAGACTGCCGAGTGAAAGTCTTGCTTACAACAGAAACTTTGTGAGTTAATGAATACTTGTCAGCAGCATTAGCGGCATTTTCCAAGGTTTCGATATCATGCTCTTCGAAGATGAGTCTTAATGTCATTAGTTAGAAACACAGTTTTTTTTAACTCATCAAGTAATACAAGTTCTTCGAGACTTTCATAATCATGTTCAACTTTCTCAGGTACTGAAGCATAACCCTTTAAAATGCATTCCTTAACCCAATCATAGTCAGCATTTTGAAGAACTGACGATGAATGGTAAATATCACTTGCTTTACAAAGTAGTAAAAACTGTAGAAACTTTCATTGAATGGCAAATACCACTAGCTTCACCAATTAGTACAAACTGTAGTAACTGACGTTGAATGGTAAATATCACTAGTTTTGCCAGTTAGTACGAACTGTAATAATTGACGTTGAATGGTAAATATCACTAGTTTTGCCAGTTAGTACAAACTGTAGTAACTGATATTGAATAGTAAATATCACTAGCTTTAACAATTAGTACAAACTGTAGTAACTGACATAGAATGGTAAATATCACTAGCTTTAAGAATTAGTACAAACTGTTGTAACTGATACTGAATGGAAAATAACACTAGCTTTACCAATTAGTACAAACTGTAGTAACTGATATTGAATGGTAAATGTCACTAGCTTTACCAATTAGTACACACTAGTAACTGACATTGAATGGTAAATATCACTAGCTTCACCAATTAGTACAAACTGTACTAACTGACATTGAATGGTAAATATCGTAGCTTTACCAATATTACAAACTGTACTAACTGACATTGAATGGTAAATATCACTAGCTTTACAAATTAGTACAAACTGTAGTAACTGTGTCCTATACTCATTTGGCCATTTCAAATTTTCTGCATTTGTTTTTCAAACCAAGGTAAATATTTGCTTTCTTTTCTCTAAAAAGGGGCACGAACCTGATATTTTTGTAATATCAAAACTTAAATTTGCATGGGAAGTGGGATCGTGCTTTTCACTTGACAGCTGCATTTCTTTCATTTTATTTTGAAATTTCCTTTCATCCTTCTCCTATTGCATCTGTCTCTCTCCTTCTCCTCTAATTGTTTTTCTTCTTTCATTAATTACAACTCTCTCTCTCTCTCTCTCTCTCTCTCTCTCTCTCTCTCTCTCTCTCTCTCTCTCTCTCTCTCTCTCTCTCTCTCTCTCTCTCGTCTCTCTCCTCTTTCTCAAATAATAACTTCATTTGTTTATCTCACTCTCATTTCAGTCTATCTCCTCTTTTTTTAAAATTGCAGTTGCTTCTCTTCTAATTGCAACTGCATTCTTTTCACCCTCAATATTTTTTCTAAAGTTAAAGCTTCATTAACTTTAATTCCATCTTGTATTTCATTTTTAATTCCATTGCTTTTATGTCAGAGTCTGGTGCAGACGTACTGACCGAAGCCAAAACACTTGTATCAAAAACAATCTTCTCTACCAAACGCTGAATAAAATGTTTTAATTTCGCTAAGGAAGATTTTGCTTCAGATAGATCGTATTTTCTGGCAAGTTCAAGCAATTCATCTTTTTCTCAAACTATCCATTTGCTCCTGAATAGGACTAGAAAGAAAAGTTTACACTTCTGATGACATTGTAAAAATAGCCTGTTGATTCCACTAAAAACTTCAAAGAAAATATAAAATGGTGCTTGGGATATAAAAACTAGGAAAATACAAATATAAAAAGATAACAAATTTCTGAAATGTATTGTTCAAAATTCATATATCCCAATTTTCTTATCTTACGTGTAGGCTCGTTCATAAGTAACAAAAGAAAAGAGTGAAGCGAATAAGCTTTGTAAATTTTAGCAAAATAAATTACTTTCCTGATAAAATGTAAAATGTGAGAACGGACTTACAGCTTGTGAATATATTCTAAACATTAATCTAAATAAATTCAAGTTTGAATCCCGAAGACGTTCCAATATAGAGGACGATGATGTCAGATGAATGGATTGTACTAATGTGTCAACAGTTCCTCGTTGAATCTAGTGAATCAAGAATAATATTCTGGCTTTAGAATTCCAAATAATTTCCACTGAATGTCTTCGTCCAATACTTTGATGAAGAAGCACTTATTTTACAGAAAAATTAAATTATATTTAATAACAATTTCAATTCAAATGGCAACAACACAAAATACCTTGAATCCAAAGGTATTATTATACGGCCGAGAAATCTACTAGAAACGTGTGCTTTAATCAACGATTTTAGATAACATGGTAGCTCACGTGACGGGGTTACGTGATCACTAATTTCAACAGCGCAATAGAAAATGCTCTATAGCACGTTGTCCAGAATAGCCCTATCTGAAAAATCATATTCTCAGGCTGGAAATGAATAGTAAAAAAGTTGTTTACAACATGGCTAATACGTGGGCCGACATGACCATGGCAATAAACCAATCATTTTCACTCAGTATTTATAAAACTTCTCAACCAAGGTGAGCTAAACATGCTGATAATGTAATTCCTTTTATATTCAAATCAGGCTAAAACAGAAGTGATTTTTCCTGAAAGAGATTCATATCCAACGAAAATTGTCATTACAATAAAATATAATGAAACAACAATAAATAAAACAAATAATTTCAAACCAACATAGAAGAAATTTAATTACATATTCGGAACAATGTAATGAACGCTTTGGAATCTAAACAACATGCAACATTCGCGATTATTACGTAAAGAAAGAGACATTAACAGTGTGCATTATCTGTGAAGAACTTAGTGTGTTAACATGAAAAACTAAAGACTTAATCGTGTTCACTATTATGGTGAGCCAGATTTAACAGATGATGAAAGTTTGACACGTACCAATGAAGAACTTGAACTATTAACATATTGTGCATGGCATGTTTATGGCGATTTGCAGTGGAGTACGTGGAGGAATTACGCTAAAACCGAATCAATACTCCGAAGCTAAACACATATATTACATGACTGATAATAGAAAACGATCTTAAATGATGGCGAATGCATTGAGTCTAAACAAAACTCCTTATCATGACCATGTGCCTAGATCATAAGAACTTCTAAGGCTGGGCTTTGCCAAGACATGCCATTAAAGACATTTGGTAAGTACTGAACAAATAAAATAGATATATAAAATAATAGAAACACTGGACAACGATCA